AAGCCGCAATATTTTTTTTTCTATACAACGACCACTAAAAGGAAAGGCGTCAAGTAGAAATAATCCCTCGTTTCGTCAGAGGAGGCCGGAGGTCAATCATATTACACTTCCCTCTTGTGCTATAACATTATTTTATATAGATTTTTGGCTTTTGTAGTTTGCCAATACAACTCCCGTTAATTACAAAATGTTTACATACCTCGTTAAATATATCTATCATTTTGGTATAAACAGGATCGTTCAAATGTGCTTTTAGTATGTCGTTTACAAGGCTACGGAACATGCACGCGTCGTTCAAGATCAAATTTTTGACTTCGGGCAATAAATGCCAACACGGCTGTCCGTGGCGTGTCTCAGACTGGTCCTCGAAGTCATCCATGATCAAGAAATATGATTGTGCCTGGGAAATAACGTCATATTTTATTTAACACAAGCTATCGCCAGCAAACTTTGTTACTGCGGATCGGGACCACCCGTTACGCCAATTTGACGGCGCGGAATTTAAAAAAGTAACCTATAACATGCCCATCTATGTCAGCTTCCCTTCAGTGAAAGTTAGGTCGAAAATCAACTGGCCGTTTCGGAGATTACTCGAAACAAACGCGGCTTGCGTACAGACGGATAGACAGACAAAAAATGTTTAAATGAGATTTTCGTTATCAGCATCGCAACATCATCTCGAAATCCGGAATATTTAATTTGATAGTACAAACAGACACTCCAATTTTATTATATGTATGGGTATAGATAAAAAATATTGTACCCTTGTTCTTAATTCAATCAATTAGTGTTTAAATCAGGTTAATGATGTATATTATCTCCATTGATTAATTAACCCACTATGCGGTAGAAGTGTATTGGGTGAAGTTTTAATGCCGTTATCATTATATTTAATAACGAGCTGTCGCCCGCAAACTTCGTTAGCGCGGAATTAAGTAAATGGTCGTCTATAACATTCCCGCGTGTATCTACTTTTTACCAGCTACTTTTCAGTCAAAGTCCCGGCCAAATCGGTCCACTCGTTCCAGAGATAGCGGTCTAGTCGCCATTTTCACAGCGCGGAATTAACAAAAATATAGCCTATAATATGCCCGTCTATGTCAGTTACCCTTCAATGAAAGTTCGGTCGAAATCGGCGCAGCTGTTTCGGAGATTACCCGGAAAAACCGCTGCTTGTAGACAGACAGGCAGACATAGAGACAAAATTTTTTAAAATGCGATTAATAAAAGAATATAATTCTAAATCCCTAAAAAATGAAAGAGACACTGAGAAAGACAGTGTTTTAAAACTGGACACATGGTTTGAGAAAAATTAACGGGAACTAAAAAAAATAACAAAAGACGTCCAGAAAATATCCTGTCATAATAATTGTCTTGGATGTCCGTAGCCAAAAAACTGCTAAGCAGTGTGGCGACTTCTCTTTTATAAGTTAATGTATATTTTGTTGTGTGTATATTTGAATTTAGAAATAAATGTGTTTCTTTCTCTCAATCCGCTGATTGATATAGGTTCAATCGGCCCAAAAGAAAAAAAAACCGTCACATTTTTCCTCGAATAACACTCAACTATAACAGAAATAGGAATATTATGTTTAAAATATTACCAATTCCATAGCGCACGATACAACTTGTGCTTTGTATAAATTCTGCTCATTGAGGTTTTTGGGATTCTCCAACACTTCGTAAGCCATCATTGTCATGTGTCCTTGCAGAGGTATTCTTAATAGAGTATCATACTCCATTAACTGTAAAAGAAATGTTTTTGTTTAGTTAAAATAAACTTGTAATCTTGCTAATATTATAAATGCGAAAGTTTATATGGATTGTGGGATGGATGCATGTTAGAGTTTGTAGCCTAAATGGCTGAACGGATTTTAATGAAATTTGGTGTAGATGTAGAGGATAGTGTGGAAGAACACATAGGCTACTCACTTTTGTTTTTTTTTCAACACCACGCGGACGATAGCTAGTAATTTTATAAACAAACTGTAACATACTCGAATCCGTAAAATACTTTTACCACATTACTAATTGCCACACAAAGAGTGATTTAATTGTAACTTTAGGAGGTATAGAATCTCATATTAAACCAACGGAATTTACACTAAGAGATATCAATAAACACTTATCAACAAAATTTCTTTGAGATTTTTCGGTGTAATCTAAATCCGCTCTCTGTCGGACACACTGCGCAAATCTAACATAATTTTTGTCAATGACGTCACGAATAATTTCGGCATTGAAACGTATTGTTTTTTTACTAAACTAAATTCTATTCATAACAAAATAGCTTACAATTAGTTAAATATTTTAACTTTTACCTTCACTAATCGTTTTTCTAGTGATGGTGTTTTGGCAACTTCACCTTTAGCCATCACATCGGCGACTAAATCTCGAACAGTGTTATTGAAATACTGAGTCCTATTCAACCAATCCGCTTTCGTAGATTGCTGATATTGACTTGCACTGCCGGATATCACATATGAGAGATAACAAGAGAAATATAAAACCATACATAAAGTTAATATTATATGATTGAAGAATGAACTTTAATATGAAAAAAAAAAACCAATTAACTAAGTTTAATTAGCTAGGAGTCATTGAATCAATTAACAGCAACGAGAATCATTTTGGTAGAGTCAAAACATTGGTAGAGTCCGCTTTAACTTCTTCGCAAGAATAGGCCGGCACGCCCGGCGTACCACGACTACACAGAAAACATGCGTAAAGTGCGAGTAATTCCGCGTATCGTCTAGTAAGAGTGCGTGCCGAAGGCCTAATTTTAGTCCCTTTATTATTCCACTTTTTCCTTGTAAGGAAAGTATTGGGACGGTAGTGGAGACGCATGAGAAGAGGAAACATCCTTTTTGTGTGCGTCTCTTTCTGCGTCGAATTAGGCATCACAATATCTATGGCCAGCGGTCACTTTGCTTTTTCGGTGAATTCAGGTGGCCGCTTGCTCGTTTGTCATCTTATAATAAAACAAATATCAACAATAAATTGGCCCATTGCAGGATCAACACCTTATTGATTGTGAAGGGTAATGTTCAAATCAGTCAAATAATGCGCAATTCATATTAGGCTAGTAATTAAGTCGAGTGTCAAGTACTATAGTACTGAACAACAATCATTTTGTGGAGTAATTTTGAAAATCACACCCGTCAATCACAATCGTACCCGACTAAAATTCTAGCCTAATGCGAACTAGTCATTAAGATAAAAATCGACCGTATCCTTTATTACCAATTAGAGTTACTTTACACAATAATTATATATTTCTTGTTTAAAATATAATATCAGTACATCATATTTTAAAAGAGGTACATACCAAATTCTAAAACCACGAACAAAACACCTACTTAGTGACATATTTCGATAATATTTAACCGACTTCAAATAGGTTCCTTGCAAATCGGATTTCTTTTTTCCAATTGATTATCCTTCTCTGTGGAGAGACTGGCAGCAGCTGCTCGATTGACGATTTGAAGGCGCTTTAATAGAGGTGTCGAAATTTTTATTGGACGAAATAAATTCGTGGGTCGCAAGTTATACGGTAACGCGAGTAATTAATTGATGTAATATTTTGTTTTAAATGTAATTTAAATATTAATTGAATAGTATTAATAGAAACAAAATTATAATGATAAATCTAAATATTTCGGCCAATAAATGACAATGAATTTATTTGACTGGCTTACTAATTTCCCGTGACTTTTCCCGCACGGAATTAAAAAAAAGAAACTTAATAAGTACCCTTCCAGAATGCGTTTTATATCTATGTTAATTTAATTTTTTTCTTTATAAGGATCCTTCTCATTATATTACCGAAGACAATAAATAAATATTAATTTTCGAACTGAATTACTTTCTTATTGATCTCAGAATGAAAATAACCCATAACTGATATTAAAAAGCTGCTATTCAATTCGTTTTGTTCTTTGTAGTGTTAAATGCAAGATTCCGATGTAGGGCTGATTTTGATCACTGGACTGGAATAATGTAAACATGTATTATATTCAACGAATGTACCATCTTACTAATATTATAAATGCGAATGTTTAGATCGATGGATGGATGTTATTAGTGTTTGTAGCCTAAACGGCTAAAGGGATCTCGATGAAATTTGGCGTAGATGTATTGGATAGTCCGCAAGAACACAAAGGCTACTTGCTTTTGTTTTCTTTAACTCCGCGCGGACGGAGTCGAGGGCGAAAGTTAGTTTGTTATAAGTTAACATATTAAAGAAGAAGAACATTTAAGAAACACTGGAATAATCTGAATAAGGCTTACATTTTAATATTGATGAGTATGGTTGTAAAAAAAATACTTTATTTCAGACAAAAAAGTCGTGACTGATATTGACTGTAGGTTTATTTTATTTGGAAAAAGTAACACGATGAATAGTAATGTAAAAATGTTATATTCCAAAGTGCTGGTGCATCGCGACTTTGTCAGCGCGGAGTTGGATTTTAAATAAATTAAAATAAAACATACAGACGAATTGAATACCTCCGCCTTTTGGGTAGTCGGTGGAAAATACGTGTTCGATAACGGCCAAACGTTAGAATCAAACATGTATCGAGAAATAGGCGTGCTATACAAATTAAATTTGTTTTACTTACGTAATTGATAAAAAGTATACAGGTGTCTGAAAAAAACGTGTACAATGGATTTCCATAGATATCTCGGTCGAAAATACGATGATTTAACCCAAATTACCTCTATCCAAAGTTGCTTTGTTATGGCACTAGAGGGCTGTAAAGTTTGATAATTATTTTACATTTATTCAAATATCTCTTGTTTTTAGTATTCATATTAAAAAAAATGGCTTCTCTTTGTTGAGCTAGCTTTTATTGAAGAACAATCCTTTATTTTTTAGTCTGTCTTAAAATTGTAATTCGGCGAACGATTTTGTCATAACAACAAACTTACGTACGCGTGAAAAACATTATTCTCTTGTCATTCAAGTAAAAATGATACAAATACTTCTAAATCTCGGTATTACTCGGTTTAGTAAAATAAATTATATCCGTCGCTTATGCACAAAAAGGGATTTTTTGCACGGCCCAAAAAATCCGTTAGCGCGCGCGCAAACCTTTGACTAAACTATCGCTCAACTGCTTTGATTCCTTTATGCTTATCCGGAGGTGCGCACATTATTCGAGTTTTAGTTGTGCAACTAAACAGTTGAATTGGCTGCGAAACAATCGATTATCGCATAGCAGCGTGTTGTTTGTGTGTAGTCAAAGGGGTGCTCCCGCTCTTAATATGTTTGATTATCACCATATGTCCCCACCGGGGGGCTCGGAGCCTAAATCACGGTGTTTTCCTTCAACTTAAGAATTTCGGGTAAATTACGTATATGACGGCGCGAAATGATTAATACTTTTTGGACGATTAAAGTTACTGGCCATTAATAATTTTGAGTACTGGCTGAATGTGCATAGTGCACGATAGATGTCAAGATGACGATCGAATGACTGGTGACAGTTGTCATTGAATGGTGGAAAAACGCGCTTTGTTAATGATCGACCTTAATATATTTTCCTAGCAAAAATGTAAAATGTGTGGAACGACACGTTGCGTAAGATTGTGTGACTTCGTATGAAAAACAAACACGGATTTACTCTTATTATTATATCGATCCATTTACTTATAAAAAAATAAAAGCATAACATGTTAAACAAATTAAATACACATTGAAAAAATATACTCTCTCTTTTTTAATACAATTACTTGGCCTAGACCTAGTCTAATTCATTGGCTACCGACGCCTATGATTTTCATATTAAAAAATCCGTATTGTTGTTCAGCGCTAGTATATGTTCCAATTGTTTAAATGGGAAGCCTCCATTAATTTCGTGAACAATTCTGGTGTCAAGACATCGTCTGATTGAAGTTCATTAACATTATTCAAAAACTGGTTGTACTTGAATTTATGTTGTTCCTTATAAAGGGTAATTAAATCCAAATCCTTATATAGTTTCTTTATGCGTCTAACATCTTCGGGATCCCAGCTGCCATATGACGCTTTAAATATCTCCTTCTGTTCAGCATTCGCACGCTCCATCGCCTTCACAGCGAAATAAGAGCATTTCCCTGCTTGTATGTCAGTATCGGTTTTATCAGATATACTCTCCTCATCGCAAAATTCCGTGAAATCATTCTGTAAATTAATATGACACTAATATTACAAATGATGAAAAGATTGATGGATGAATATTTGTTACTACATTTGTTTTATATCATAAGGTAGCAAACGAGCGTTACCTACTCTTAATAGACGAAGGAGGAGACGCACATAAAGAGGATATTTCCCCTCCCTGTGCGTCTCCTCCACCGTCAAATCCACGTTCCTTTTCCATCCTTTTCTTATGACATAAAGGGTGGGGAGGAAAAGGAATAAGGATGGGCCGCCGGCACCACACTTATCAGATGAAACGGGAAATCGCTTCCACTTCACGCCTGTTTTCAGTGTGGTCGTGATATTGCACCGGACGAGCCGACCCATTGGTGCGAAGATGTTAAAGCAGGCTCTACCACTGTTACTCTACTGCTACATATCTCTAGAACGGATCATCATCATCATCATCAGCTCCCTATATGTCAGTTTCGAGGATCTCGGAACCTACGTTAAGTTAGGGTGACTAGGCAATAACCAACCACGCTGGCCTAGTGGAGATTGGTAGACTCCACACGTATCTTTATATTCTTCGCCGATATGTGCAGGTTGCATCACGATATATCCTTTCATCGTGAGAACGTCGGGTAATTTATGTACATATGAAATTCGAAATATTTAAAATCTCACATAGCGAAATTCGAACCTAGGACCTGTGGATTACAAATCAAGTGTTCAAACCCCTGATCCGAACGGATCATCGGATCTCTTTGAAATTTGGAATACATGTCTAGAATACACGGAACACATAGGCTACTGATTAAGTTTTTTTTTATTTCGCGCAGACAGTACTTACACATACAAACATAATGATATAATTTTCATCTCATAAATAAAAATGACACTGTAAATAGATTTTACATTATATATGCTACTTACCATCATCTGGTACAAAGCGCCTACGTCACGGACTATATGAGTGACGCGCTGGAAAGTTTCCTCAGTGTCCTTTTCGCATAAAATCAAGGCCAACATTATTGGAACTTCTAAGCAATAGTACGTGCACTTGTACCTTATTATTTTATTATAGTTCTCTTGTGTAAATAAGGAATAGTCTTTTGCTTTAGGTATCATAGTGTCTAGGTGCTGGCCGATGGCAATAAATAAATTCATCTGAAAATACAAATAATGGTAGTCTGCATTAGAATTAGCGGCTGCACTAATCGTTACCTCTAAAAATGCAATACCACACAGGAGACGTTCTTACCGTGGTAGCAATGCCGCATTTTGCCTAATATTTAGAGTCTTACCACGTAAACTTAAACAATGATTCAAATATCTTTTAGTTTAAACATAAATCAAACCTTTTATGCATGACACTAGCGCCTGCCGCTGATTATTAGCAAATTGTAGTTATTGAAACACTACTAGGAGGATAGGTATTTATGGTAAAACACACACAATACGTTGAAGTCCTTAATATCAAGCGGCGCTCAGAGTTATAATACGCGTTTAGCTAAATGGTATCTAAATATACTTTTGGGGTAATAATAAATTACACTAGTTTTTGAAAAATAATGAAATTTAGTTAAAATGTTTCTCAAGATTCATTTTATAAATGAAACAAAACGGAGAATTTCACTTGTATTATCTTATTATATACCCTTTTTTATTATTCACAATTTTCAAGATATTTCTTTCGCGTTGCTAAAGCAATAACTGACAAGGAAGAAACTTATTACGATTTACTCACCTTGTTGAATATATCTACCATTTTGGTGTAAACAGAACCTTGGAAATGAGCTTTTAATATGTCGTCTATGAGACTTCGGAAAATGCAGACGTCGTTTACGATCAAATTGTTGACTTCGGGCAACAAATGCCAACAGGGCTGTCCGTGCCGCGTCTTAGATTGGTCTTCGAAGTCATCCATGACGAGGAAATAAGACTGTGTCTGTAATATAGTGTCATTTAGCCTTTTACCTACATTAAAATTATGTTGAAGTACAAATTTATTATACTAACAAGTTTATAGAGATCTTTTAGTGTCTAAATTTATTAATATATGGATATTTTGTTATCTCCATTAGTTAATGCTACTTAAAATTTAAGAATATTTCATCAAATGGCTTTCTATCCGATTAAGGCAACACGGCAAAAATTAATTTATTTCAAAAATATTACCAATTCCATAGCGCATGATACAACTTGTGCTTTGTATAAATTCTGCTCATTGAGGTTTTTGGGATTCTCCAACACTTCGTAAGCCATCATTGTCATGTGTCCTTGCAGAGGTATTCTTAATAGAGTATCATACTCCATTAACTGCAAAAGATATATGTTATGAAAATTAAAAACAACAGCGACTTTCCACTGCTAAGGAAAGTATGGGTTGTCTAAAATACCCTCGCTACGGTCGAAGACCAGTTATGTTTAACAGTAGTAAAGATTGCAGCAGCGTTAGCTGCTG